AAACATAGTTCACACAATGGTATCAACTTAAGAAAAATATTGCTTTCTAAATTTTTATAGTTAACATACAAAAACATAAAGTAATATACCCTTAATACTATATCATTAATTAATTTACTATTATAGTATATTATAAAAAAATAGGTAACATTTATGATAATTGAAATGTCTAAAGAAAATAGTGAAAGGCTTTTGCATGGTTCTAAATACCTTAACAAGGTTGGCCAAAACTATTTTGCTTCACAAAATAATAGTAATAATAATTCTACAAGCTCGGGGAAAAAATTGATTAATGCTCTTCTGCTCACTCCAGTCATCGTACCTACTGCTATAACACTATCATTGATTGGTTGCACTTATTTATGTTTGAATGCTGTTAAAGCTCAAGATGATGATTCTACACTATCTCAAGTGACAAAGGCTACAGTCAGATACTTAATTTATATGGCTACTTTTGTAGTTTTATCTACGTGCATCGTTCTAAACTTGGCAATTTCATTAGTACCGTTTCTCATTTTTCGAGTTATTAATAAAGGCATATTTAATAAAGAAAGCAATGGCCTAGATGTTATAAATACCACAGATGTTCCAGGTCAAGTACAACCAACAAACACAATTTTAACCGATAGTGAATATAAAGAACACATTAGTGATGCGTTAAATAAATTGAATAGCAGCACAGAACCAATAAATAATGAAAATGAAGAGCTAAATCAAAGATTAATCAGTCCTACTCAACCAACTGTACAAGTAATATCTCGAAATACTGGTAACCAAGATCAAGAGGATGAAACCATTATTGTAGATGGAATAAATAATGCACGCATACAAAATGGTAAAGCGGTAATCATATCAAAAATAAACAAGGAAGAAGTGCATTTTACGTATGTTGCTGCTGATGATCATGTTATACCCGATAATAATGCTATGAAGAGTTCTGCAGCAGCTTGTAATGTACATTGTAAAATTGTTGACGATGGTGTAGATTTTTCAGTTAGTGCTAGTGTTCGTACTGGAGAAACCCAAAAGCGAGCAATGAAGGAATTATTACAAAGTAAAGTAGCGCGAAGAATCCTAAGTAATTGTGAAGTGGAAGTGCAAGCAATAACACAAGACGCAGCTAATAAGTAACAAATTTTCTAGTATTGCGCTAGCTTCGTTGTATATTTTACTTTTCCTTACCATAATACTCTTCCTAATTTTTTTACTATTTTAGGTGCTTCTTTTCTATTGGTCTATTTATTTTTGGGAATTGGTATGAAATCTGGACAAACAGTATTATATACTGCTAGCATTCAATCCTCCTCATTACCATAAACACTTATCTCACCATTTTGGACCATTATGGATAGTTGTTACGCAACATCCTCTATTTAATTTAATCCATTCTAAAAGAGTTAGATCAGGCAAGGTAAAATTATTATGAATAAAATCAACTTTCTAAAATTTATTGAGCTGTGCTTTCAAACAGTTGTACCAGGATATGAATATCGTCACTATCAATACATAAAAATTATAGCTGATAGGCTAGGCTCTGTGAACCAAAATTTGGAGAAATAAGAAAAAAGTGGTAGTTTAACCGTGAATAAATAAGGAGAAACTACCAAATGAAATATTACATACAAGAAACAAAATGGAAACAAATTTTTGCAAATTTGAAAAGCGTAAAAGGAATACACAGTAAAAACGAAGATCGGATAAGAAGGTTCATGGAATCAGTGTGGTACATGGCTCGAAGTGGTTGCCAATGGCGACTTTTACCAGAAATATATGGCAATTACAGAAGCGTACATAAGAGATTCAAAAAGTGGTGTGAAAAGGGAATTTGGGAAAAGCTGCTCAAATATACACAAGATCCAGATTTGGAAGTGCAAATGATAGATGGAACAATCGTTAGAGCACATGCTTGTGCGGCTGGATACAAGAAGGATACCGGAACTCAAGAAGCACTGGGACGCAGCAAAGGTGGCTTTACAACAAAGATACATGCTCTTGTTGATGCTCTGGGAAATCCGCTTAAATTTACTTTAACTGCTGGTCAAAGGAACGATATTACACAGGCTGAAGCATTAACTGAGAATGTCTCAAATTCAGTTGTGGTGGCCGATAAGGGCTATGATAGTAATGCTTTTATTGTGGGTCTTGAGAATAAAGGGTGTGAGGTTGTTATTCCTCCGAAGCGTAACCGAAAAGTGCAGAGGTATTATGATGAGCATATTTATAAAGAACGTCATTTGATTGAATGCTTTTTCGGCAAAATAAAACATTTTAGGCGGATTTTTTCAAGATTTGATAAGACTGCCACGGTTTATTTAGGCTTTTTAAACTTCGTTGGGGCCCTCATATGGCTTGCTTAAAATTTTGGTTCACAGAGCCTAGNTAGTGTTTGTACAACTTGGGCAAAAATAGATAACAAGTTTTACTTACTTGATGTATATCGAGCGAAACTTGAGTACCCAAAGCTAAAAGAACAGTTTTTATCACTTGCGGAAAGATGGAATCCACATGCAATTCTTGTTGAAGCAAAAGCAAGTGGACAGCAATTGATACAAGAACTAAAAGAAAATAGTGCTTTACCAGTGATCGCAATAGTACCACACAATGATAAACTCACTAGGTTTCATCAGATTGTTTCGCTAATAGAATCGGGCAGAATTTTTTTACCACACCATGCAGTATGGTTAAGTGATTTTGAGTATGAAGCTCTAATGTTTCCAGAAACTAATCATGATGATCAAGTAGATAGTACAGTGCAATATTTGCAATGGGTAAGAAAAACAAATGATAATGTCATGATGATTAGGAATTTATAATTGTAGTTGTTTAGCTCTCCGTTTCGTGATGGCCGTATTAATAAATGCTTTATAGTCAATAAATTTTGTTGTATACAATTGCTATTACTAGG